GAAAAAAAAACGAGAATCCCGACGCGATTCGGTTCAGAGGACACATTCTCCCTCGCCGAAACTCACCTCCGACCCTATCCGGTCCCTCGGCGTCCTCCTCACCCCTTTCCTTCGCCGCCGCCACCCTCGATTTTATTCAGAACCATCCTCTCCCGTCTCTGTTTCTCGACGACGTTTCGGGTTCGTCGACCCGGGTATTTCATTAATCGGAGGAAGATTCGACGGTTGATTGATGCCAGCGACGCCATCTGAAAGCCGTTTGAAATATTAGACTGGCGGGGAGAAGCTGTTAGGAATCGTTCGATTCCTTTGGAACTTTCGAGGTCTACATGGGAACTTTGTGTCGCTCTCGGGAGAGTTTGCCTTTATAGCCAATAGGATTTCACTGTGCTTAGCTTTCTATTTCAGGTACTGAGTCTTTAATAGAAACAATTGAGGAAACTCAATATTTTATATGTAACATGTACATTACCTATTCAAGCTATCAAACTCGCAAGAAATCGGAATATCCCGGAGGAGTTAGATGTTGAATCAAGGTTCAAGCCGTCATTCGAAGATGACCCTCGTCTATCAGCCAGAACACGAAACGAAGAAACACGAGGCAAAGGTGAACGAAAATTGACAGACTACCGGATCGGATTCCGTGTCGCTGGGGGACGCCATTATCCTGTCGTCGAGCCGTCAGCGCTTCTTTCGGGGTGATTTGAAGGAAACCGGACGGGCACGCCCCTCGACCGCCGAAAATCGGCCGACAGCAGGTGGACCGGATTCGTTCATTAATTGTGACAGCGGCGAAGCTGGAAACAGTCGTGTCTGCGCGGCGGATAGCTCGACAGCTTATCCTCCTTTCGTTCGTTTCCTCTTCGAAGCGTGTGGACGTGGACGCTGGGTAATTTCCACGCGTGGATGCTGGACCCATGGAGCGTGTTGGACATCTATGGTAATAGAATGGGCGAAATAGGAAAAAGGGTAACGATTTTGCGTATCCGCGGAAGAATGCGATGAAATACCAGTTTTTCAACAGTTTCGTGGTTCGAGAAACTTTTGAACACTCGTTTGAAATATTGTCCTGTTGATGATGTCTCGACATGATGTGTTAATGCATAATAATAGTGTAACAGTGGATACAGTTCGTGACTGTGCGATTTAAGTTACTTCATGCATTCGTGCTGCTGTTTTCGAGACGACGTTAAGTCAGAGTACGTCGACGCAGGATATTGCGAATATGGAGGAATTGACTGTCGGTATTAGTTTTGATCTATCCTACTTGGCCCCGACGACGCACCGCTGCGCAGAGTATACAAACGGAACGATACAGTTTGTCGCGACTCCACTGTGTGGTTAGCTGCAAAAGTTCAGTGTCTGTTTAGTGGTCGACCTGTTCTACTTGATACGAGGAAGTTCTGGCAAGTACAACACACCGGCGCACGTCTGAGGGTAAGTACTATCAGGGTATAAATTAGTATGGTTCAATTATTGTCGGATACTACTTGAGACTAGGGGTTATTTAGCGTGGAGTTTCGACGATATTGCATCCATGCGAGTGGCTGCATTAAAATTATTAACCGTGGAACGAGCACGGTGCATTATGCTGCGTGGAAGGGGATAAAAGACAGACGTTTAATCTGTTGAAACATTCGATGCACTTTGCTCGGTCCCGCTGATATCTCGCGGATTCTACGTTTATTCGAATACATCGCGAACGATAGAGGTTATTATGACTTCGGCTTGCGCGGTTAATTACAGGAGTTCCCAGCCTGCTCGGTGCCTGGTCTATTCTACTCAACATCAAGCAAGTTCCCCGGCTCGGCATGCAACCCGGCGCGATCAACATCAAGGTACGCATAATTTCCTTTGGCAACATTGATCCGTCTATTATCGTAGAAAATTCTGCGTCGATTCAATCACTGGCTTCGCTCCGCTCACCGCGCGAAAGGCCCGCGAAATCCCCAAGCGGCTCCAAACAGTTTCAAACAACCTTAACTCGGTTACGGCGCGGCCGCGCGGCAGAAACGAATACGGGAAATCTCCATAACGACATAGCTTAAAAGAAGATCAGCGGTCAGAGGTGAAATTGTTTGAGCGTGGATATGGGTCAGCCAACCGGCTGGCCGTTCAACTAACTCGCCGCTCTAATCCGGCATTTTTTATGCGGCCCCGGTATGCAACGACCTCGCTCGTTACGTTTCGCTTCTTTCCGCGACTGTAACAACTGTTAAGTGAAAATTGAACCGAGCGCGGAGTTAACGAGGGAATAAGTAGGTTAAGCGTGTGCCCGCGATGAGGGAGGCGCGCGGAATAAAGCGGATAGCGATCGGAGCACGAGAGCCGGCCGCTTAAAGGGTGGCAAAAGCGATCGGCGCTCGCGAGTGGTAAAATATCAGCCGTCCGTCGACCCCTGTTTGCCGATATTTTACCGGTTTAATTGTTTTTCACCGGTCGAGAGCTATTCCGCCGCTTCGCGTGCAACAACGGGGTTGGGACACGCTAGAGGCCAATTGTTCGGTACGCGAAAACTGAATCGAGAGGAGATGGCGTGCGCTCTTTTGATAAGACGATTATCGATTTGTTCAGGAAATTAGTGTTGATCGATTCGAAATTTTCAAGCTTAAGGCTTTTTGATATTTTGAGTAGGTGGACTAGGTTTTAGCTTTTTAGCTACCACGAAGCTGTATGGCTGAATTATGGATTGGTTATATTTTTATCTCTTTTCACGTCGAAAAAGGAGTTGCAGTAAAATGTTGGTCCAGTGAGCTGGAATGATCTAATTTTATATCAGTAGATATATAACTCACTAATTTCTAGCGCAGTTACGGTAATATCTTAATCACATCATAATTAGAATTTTAGTAATGGGTAAAGCTACCACGGAGCTAGCTGTGGAGCTATGGTTGAATCATAGATTGACTATTTTTATTTCTGCGTGAGATATGAAAAATAAAAATTCTATACTAAAACGTTGGTCCAATCTGTATGATCTAATTTGATCTCAGCAGATATCCCACTGGTATCCATCAGTTAACCGAATATCTTAATCGTGTAACTACAATTTCAGTAACAGAAATTCAATAACGAAATATCCCACCGAACGCGAATCCCGTAACATCCACCCGAAAAAAAAACCACTCACGCTCCGAACCGCGAAGGGTTAACGCCCGAATTCCGGCCGGCACTTACGAGTCCCGCCGACGAACGAGCCGAATCGAATGTTTCCAGCGGTAAAACCTATTCTCCGAAAATCCATACGCGCGCGTGCACGCGCACGCATTCGGCAGCAAAAATTGTAGCCGGCCGGAATTTTCAATGGGATTACAATCGGCGATGCCTCCGCGGCCGGATTACTTTGCTAGATTGAATTTTTATCGAAATCGCATCACTTAGCGAAATTTGGCAGCGGCCGGCGGCTCTAAATCGGCCGAGTTTTTCGGTGCCGTTCACTCGGACGAATTCATCGAATCCGCCCCCCGCCGGAACCGCGGGCGGGCGAGGGGACGGCGCGGGGCGGTACGGCGGATCCGGTCGGCGCTGTTTATTCGTTACAGCGAAATTGAATCGCGAGTCAACAGAGCACGGTTACAAACAGTTTTTACCAACGCTCTTGCCTCCTTGCTCGCGTAATGAGCAACCGGCCGGCGAATCACGGTGAAAATTAACAGCGCTGCGTCCCGCTCGGGATGATTCATTGATTCCGTCCGGTCCGAAAATCACCGGAACAAGAATCGATCCCGCGTAACGCGTCCCTCGCGCGACGATAATCGCGTTTCGTCGAGTTTCGGGCGAGCGATTTTTCTTCTGCTCGTTTATTCCCGTTGACATCTTCCGGCTCGGAGGAGCGAGAATGGAACTGCAAGATGCGAGGAGAGATTATCGAGCACGCCGCGCGAGCACAACGAATTTCCTGGTACCCCGAAGCCAGAGGCAACCGATCGGGCCGATCTTTAATTTGAGCAAGAACGAGAGACGCGAAGGCGGAAGATACGTGAAATTTATTACCGATGGACGGCGCCGCTAACGAATGTGTCCCGCGGGAACGGAACGGCTGGACAATGCAGTTTTCCAATTTTCACCCTGGTCCCAACCCGCGCAACGCCCGCCGGTGTTACCCGACGAAACCGTGTGAACCTACGTTCGACCTCGCTGGTCTACCTAGTCCTCCGCGCTCGCCCTTTATCATCTGTAACCCGAACAATCATAAAGCATGTTGATTCACGGCGCCCTCGTAAATTTCCCGTTATTTTTACTCTTCGTGGGGTATCGTTTAAGCGGCTTCAAGTATTGCTTTTCGGTATAGTTATGCTTAGGGCGAAATACGATCGCTTTTGTTGGGGAGCAGGGAGAATTCGTTTTATGCTGGCTTCTGAATAGTTTAGTGGTATAGTGTAGGTTTAACTGTGCTAATTTAATTGGGTCTGGTTTAGATCTGTTTTGGTGTGTTACTTTCTATGTTCAGTAGAAATTCACTTTTGTTTATTGAGTATCAAATAATCATATATAATCAAATATATAATCACAAATATTACAAAGTACAAACTCAATCATAGATCCACACCATCAATGAATTAAATCTTCACCTCAACCTTTAGAAGAATTGTCACCATTCCCCATAACGAAATCTCAAGTTCAATAAATTTTCAGGAGAGTTGTAGGTCACTTTCGTTTAGTTAGTATAATCAAATATACAATATTTTCCAGTATAATTATCATCCTAAATCCAGTAACTCAATCTATTCAGTATCACAAAGTACAAACTCAATCATAGATCCACACCATCAATCAATCCCTAGCCGCATCCCCCGGAAGAGCTGTCGCCGTGCTCCGCGAAGGAATGTTAAGTTTAATAAATTCCCAGCGGTGGTGCAGCAGCTGAAATGAACTCGGTTCGTTACATTAATCATCGAATGAAACCCGAAAGAATTCTGGCCGGGTCAGCGATTAATTTCCAAGTCCCCGCCCGTCTCCCGGAGCAATTTTATATGGGGATCCCGGCTGAAGTTTTCGGAATTTATAAATGAAAATTCGCCGGAACTCCGATCCGCCCCTTTCCGCCCTGAAATTGGCCGGTGCCCCGGGAATTTTATATTCAGGACATTACCGCGTGCTGAATTATTTTTCAAGTTCGGACAGGGGCCGACGGTCGTTGCAGCTGAACCAGCCCTCGCCGGCCGGCGCTGGCGGTGGTGACTGTTTCCGGTCGGGAGCCTTGTCATCCAGGTTCAACCAACCCCCTATTCGAATGCCATTTCATCCCCGCACAGCACATCGGACACGGCCCGCCCAAGACGATTCACTAACTTTTTTTTTCTCCTGACTCCGGCGAATTTGATTTTCAATCCCTTTGTATTTTCGGTTTAACGTCCACCGACGACATTGCTTCCATTTTTCAGGGATATCTCCGTGATAGTGATTGTAGACATGAAACAGTAATGTGGTATTAATGGTATTTTAAGTATGTTTTATTTTTAAAGAAACACAGGAGCAGATAATTAACACTAGGTTTACGGATCGCGTGAAATTGACGCAAATTGGATTTTAGAAATATTATTTTGTAAATGTGTACGCAGATTTTGATTGATGCGATCACACTGACATGTACCCCAATTACTATCAAATCTCCAGTTTCCACAATCTAAATAAACGAGCATCAATTCTTTTAGGAATAATAAAATGAAGTGTACAGTAAATGCCCGTGAACCTAGTGTTAAATGTAATACAAATACATAGAAACGATATAGCAGTACAGGTCTTTTCTCTTCCCTAGTTAACGCAACTCTCCAAATCTCTCGCCATCACTTAAAAATCATTCTCTCCCACAAGCATTCTTCTTGCTCACACTTCCAACAAATTCTCAAACGCACCCCACTCTCACCACCAAGCACTCATCATCCTTACGTATCCTTTAGGAAAAAACCCAGTAACCCTTGGGCCTGGTCTCCATGAGTCCCTTTCTCTTTTGTGACCTTAGAACACTCGCTGTTCCACTGTCTTAAACCTACGATACAGTAAAGAATATAAATTGTCAACAGTTGGTGATAATGTTCGTAACAGAGAGGAGAACTGGAAAGGATTTTAACCCCTTGCCCTACAACAACGAATGAGACTCGAAATATAGGTATAACATATGCTTAGAATTTTTCTCTTTCCAATAAATTATGACAAAGTAGCCGTATCGATCAGAGTTCAGAAAGAAATCATAGACCAAGGGGTAAAGAAATTAGGAATTATACGACTTTAGGGGTAGTTTTAGGGAGATTTAGGGGAATTAGAATGTTCATGATATTTAAGGGACGAGAGTATTCGAATGGCAACATTTGAGGGTGCTTTACGTCGATAATTGCGTTCTCCAGGATGGAATTGACGATTATTGCCGGTTATTTGCATTCAGTCACGAACGAATCGGTACGAGGGTGGCTCGAAACGACCCAGGCATTGTTAAATTGACTCGCGTACCTGTCACCGGCCTGGAGAGGGCGACAAGGGGCGTAAACCTGACTGGACAAGGTTACGTAATGCTTAAAGCGCGTGTGTGGTGAACGACCGATGGAGATTGGGGAGCGAAAGGGTTCAAACCCCTATTTCTGTTTTTATGAATTGCTGACACAGTTTCGGTATCGGGATTTCGAAATTCGTATGGAAATTGATACGGGAAATGGAAGAGTCGTTACTGAGATCGGTGCTTGATTTCCGATTCGAACAAATAGGCTATTTATAATACCAATAGTTTTATTTAGAAACATCGTACAAAGTTTATTCCGTAAATTCGATTAACTGTCGGCGTGCAATGATAATTTCCAAGATAAATTCGTTCCGTTCGAAGTGCATTAAGATATCTTAAACTAGTGTAACAATAAATACTATCCTAACGTTGACGGATCGTGAAAACTCATGCATCCAAATCAAATGTATTTCACTAACTCTCAATACCAACAGCAATTTCGTATCAACCAAAAATTCAAAAGTTCTCATTGCTAAATTAATCTCCAAACTATACACTATCGAAAAATTCAAATGAAACGAAAGTTCCGAACGAAGGAACAAAGTTTCTATTCAATTTATCATTTTAATACAAAATGAAATCCTTCGTCGACATGAATATTCACAGTCCGAGCAACAATGATTGTGCGTTCCGGTTAATTCTACGTTCGCGAGTGCGATGACAGCTGCGAGTTCCGTCCTCAATTATTTACAACGGCCGCGACGTCCCGGCGAAGGCGGCGTTCGGGCCCGTTTCCACGGGCGCCGGCGAATAAAGTTATGAATTAAAGATTTCATTAACGTCCCGGCTCCTTGGCGCGGAAGAGGCATCGGCGTGGCTAAGACACAGGATATCGAATTACCTTCACATCCTTTGACGCCGGCACGGCCACTTTAACCCTATTCAGTTGAAGAGGGACGTTCAAAGAACCGTCCTGAATTGCAACGGCGAATTGAAAAAGGCGCACCGGCGCGTTGAGATCAAGCGCTGCGCTGCGGCTTCGCTTACTGAATTATTTACGTAATAAATACATTCGTCGCGCCGGTGTGTTCCATCGTCTCCGCCATTTCGCCGGGGAATTCAATTTCGATCGGCTTCTTAAGTCCATCGCGATATTGTCGTTCATTTTTAATGCCGCCCGGCAAGTTCGGTTAATAAAGTTTCCTCAAACGAATCCGGATGGGAGATATAAGAAGACTTTTACTTCGGAAGATGGATCGTGGTCTTTTACCTAGAAGCTTTCAACGTTTATTTCTCTGGTTGATGAGTCGTGTTAACCCTTTGCGGACGATTCTTTGAAATATACAAAACTTTCAGGGATAAAGCTGAATTATCAAATGTTTGATTAATATAAAGAAAGGAAATTACGCGATGATCGCTGTTCGAGTAACTGAGTCATTTTTCTGCGTCTTCCAAATACAAAAATTTCATCTTGCTGAAATGGCATTCGTCCGTAAAGAGTTAATTTTAGAATTGATATTTATATTCGAGTGGATGACTCGGTCGATGTTCATTTTATGTTTGTTTTAATGATTAAACATTAATCTCCGGTATAGTAAAGAAAAGGACCATTATGGTAATAAATTTTCGAGGTCCGGTTTCAATGGAACCGAGTAAACAATTCAGTCCGCCGGCCACGAGCTTCTATTACCCTTTGATACTTCAGGAAATATGTAAAGCCCAGAATGTTTTCTGCGGTACTCCTGCGGACAGCGAAACCGGCAATCCGCTTTTTGAATCAAAAGCAGAATTTCAGTTTACTCGAACAAAAACCTCTTGTTTGAAATGAGGCAGCGGAGTAAGAGGCTCCGCAAGAATTATTTCGCGGTCGGAATCTTCGCTTCCCTTATGCCGCGAAAGGGAAGTAAACAGCTCTTGAAATCCGCGAAAATCCACGTTACTTGTACATTCGCAGTGAAGTAATTACGGGGAATTACTTAGCGCGAATGTTTATATAAGTGAAGCACGTGAAACCCTGAAAACGTCCTCGCAGTGCCCAGAATTTCATGAAATTATCCTGATTTCAACTGAATTGAATACTGTTTTAAATTATTCTCGATTCCAAATAGTTGCAAATCCTTCTCAAATATTAACTCTATGAAATTTCCTTTCCAAACAACCCTCGAAACGTTTCGTTCAGAAACTGAAGATCATTAAACTTCGGAGGGAGCAGGTTGAACAGAAGTTTCCTTAAAAATTTCCCAAGTTTTTCGAGTACGATGTCTCGCAGCGTGTTCTCGCTTCCTCGCCGCTGGTTCTTAGTCGTCTAGCTTACAACCTAGTCCACCATTGGTCGATTCTCTGGCCGGGCAGTCCTTTCAATCCAATGAGAACGGTGGCTCGCGTGAAATACTGATCGTGGCGGTGGCGCTACTGCAGGGAAGTTTGGATGTTTCGCGCGAGTATTAGAAACCACGAGAACGGAAGTAGAAGCCCGGGCCAGTGGCTGACGTCACATCCGGAGGAGACGTATCCGGCGTCACGTTGCATGGCTTCCGTACGTTCGCCTGGAACAGAAATAAAACTCTCTTTCTCTTGCTCCCTATTATATACACGCGAGCAAACAAAATTCCGCAACGTTCCACTGAATACCTCGCCAGCGACTACAGAAACTTCGATTTACAGTCGATTTTCAGAACATCGCGCGCCAGATGTTCAAGTATACATCAATTCAACCGAAAATTAACCATTCATTACCTGTTCTTCGAACAATCGTTCAAATTTCTCGCGAAATTCGCTTGGAATTCGTGTAAACCGATACAATTTCAATGAAGCGCGAGGTAATTGAATTTTCGTTTATTAACCTTTATACTCGAGTGGATCCCACCACTTTGATGCAGTAAACATAAAATCTGATAGTTAACGTTGAACTTTGTATAATGCCTCGTGAAATATTCGAATTAGAATTCTTCAATGTACTTGTGATTTCCTTTCGAGTTAGTTTCAAGGATCGCCTTGTCAAATGTTAAATATTTCTATTAAGAAAGTTCCGAGTGCAAAGGGTTAATCAGAACGCACCAGAAACTTCGATTTACAGTCGATTTTTAGAACATCGCGCGCCGAATGTTCAAGTATACATCAATTCAACCGAAAATCAATCATTCATTACGTATTCTCCGAACAATCGTTCAAATTTCTCGCGAAATTCGCTTGGAATTCGTTTGTATAAACCGATACAATTTCAATGAAGCGCGAAATAAATGAATTTTCGTTTATTAACCTTTACACTTGAGTGGATTTGTCACCACTTTGACGCAGTAAACTTATAAAATCTGAAATGGAATTAGAATAGTTTTCTTCAATGTACTTGTGACTTCCCTTCCAGTTAGTTTTAAGAATCGCCTTCGTCTCGTCAAATGTTAAACATTTCTATTAAGAAAGTTCCGAGTGCAAAGAGTTAATCAGAACGCGCCGGAAGACAAGCCGCGTGAGCTGAAGGATCGCGCGATCATCGCGAGGATCGGTATCGCGGCTCGCGAGCGAAAGAATAATGAAACCACGGTCTCGTAAATCAATGTCCCCCACGGAGACTATCGGATTATAGGTTTTTCCTGCGTCGCTAGCTCGTGGCAGGAAGGTCTTCATTAATTACCGCGCTCTTTAGCGCGGCGACGCTCGCCGCGAGCGGCTCGGGCGGCCTGACAAATAATTGCTCGCGAGTTCTTCGAACGTGAGTAATTTCGTTCCACTAATCTCTGGAAAATAGCATTAATTCGATGTCGCCGCGCCGTCCCCGCGCTTAGATTAACAACTGCCAGCCCGCCGGCGCGTTTAACCCTCGCGCAACGCTCCCGGCTCCTCGGCGCGTTATTATTCTCTTAATTGAAATGGGTCCGCGCCGGCGGTGAATTAAAAAGACACATTTATCTTTCTACAGATTACGTTCGGCCATTTCATATGCGGCCTCGGGATTAATTTCTGCTCGCCACCGGTTAATCCCTACCGGTTGTTTTAATCGCTGATGTACCGTTTCGTTTTTGGATTATTTCGCCGGCGGAGATTAATATTTTAATTTCGTTTTAATCGTTACGAGCGGGGAGATTCTAGATTTCGCTCGCCAGGCATAGACGGGGCTAGATTAAATTCTCTCGAGCTCGTTTTTGACCTGAATTCCGCCCGAACCAGACATCTACCTTGGCTGTTATGCAGTTTTAACTTGAATCTTGATTAAACATTGACAACATCGTTAATATACAATTATATTCGTGTGTATATTATTCCGCGTTTATACGTACACCGTAGCAGAAAGAGAATTTTTCATTTCTACATATATAACACTTTTACTACTTCCTAGAACATTCTTTCGTCACTAACTTCACATTTGGAATACTCCACGTTCATCTAACATGAACGTCATTAACATGTGAAATTCACTACAGAAAATCAATTTAACCTAGAATGTTCCATTGCCTTAATCACTTATTCAACACACGCAGACTCGTTCATCACATCCATTCCCAGAATACTCATATTTTTATAGAAGAAACAATTAAAACCATATCACAGATGAAACCGAGAGGATCGATGGCAACGCGCAAGCATTCCATCAATTCGCCGCTGACCCAATTATTCTGTTCCAGAGGCAACCGCGCGTACTCCGTTCAGAAAGCAAGGGATTCCCCGATTCAGACGTCACCGCAGTAACTCACAGCGAGGATCCGACGCCGCCCCGCGTAAACGTAAAGAACGTGCCCCGAGCAGATGGCGTCGGACACGCGTAAGTGCTCAGACGCATCTGCAAGAAGCCGCTGCACGTTGCCAGACCCTATCTCATAAGGGGCCAGCCACGTGCGTAGCAGATTCCCGCGGTTTAACGCCGCGGCGATATTAAATTGCTCCGGCGCGCAGCCACCGTCGGTGCTGCGGGCGCAGAATTCACGCCGGAGGCCTGAAAATTAAAAAACTGTCGCCGCGGGAATTCTCCGGGACGGCGGAGAGGTAATTTCGAACGTCGTCGGATACCGGGCGCCCGAGTAATTCCCGACCGTTACAAATTTCAACATATTTTTCCAATATTTCAAAAGCGAACATCGCCGGCGCAATTACGAAATTCTCGCGAGTTCGCCGGATTTCCCGTTAAGTTCGAACGGTCGGCGTAATTGAAAATCCGCCGGTGATTCCCCGCGATAAGGGGGACCCCTCTTTCCGATATTTCGAGCGGAGGTTCGACGGAATCGCCGGGATCCGCACTCGTTTACGGCTCGAAGTGCAGGGAGTCCGTATTTCGGGGGGCGAGCTGTCGATGCCCGGATACGGAAAACGGTTGAAGTCGTTAACGACGCGGAACCTCCGTACTGCAACACTATTAGCCGGCGAATCGGTCGGACCCGTCTCGGCGCCGCTTCACGGCGAACTGCGAGCTCGGATCTTGACTTTTTCGAGGAGCCGCGAACAGGTACTTTATTTCCCCCGAAATGACTTTTCTAACGGTTTCCTTCCCTGATTACACACAGCCCCTGATCCCCTAATGACAGAAATACGAGCGACTCGTTTCGGAAAGAAACGGAGGCGCGTCGCGCTCTATGTACATTAGGATCCGGCGGATTCCTTCGTAGTTCTTCCCCCTTTTTCTTCTCGTTCCTCTCCGCTCGAGAGCGCCACTCGGGCTTCACGCTCGATCCGCTGGCCTGTCGGCGGCGAGTTTCACCCGTTCCCCTGGTAATTACGCTTTCATATTCTCCGACGATTAAGCGGTCGACTTTTCCGCGCTGTTACTTTCCGAAGTTTGAGTTACGAGTCGTTTGATTAAACCGACCCGATTCTCGGATTCCCTACGGTCCCCCGTTCGGACGTGTGGCTTGCGGTCTTGTCGCGGCTCGGCGAAGTAATAAATTCGTGAGAACTGTTCGAAGTTTGGAAATCGTTTTTAATTGGATCCGAATCCGGTCGCGGTGTTCGCGCGCTGATTACCGTGGATAGGATCTGTCGGTGCTTTGTCGTTCGCATTTGAAGGTAATGAGCGAAGGGTTGCATTCAACGCGGCTCAAACTGCACTGTATCGGAACACCGTATTAGAAGGTTCGGTTCCAGCGAACCATGAACCTGTAGCGCTTCGTCTGTGACGCTGATCCCATTTAATCTGGGCGCGATCGATGATGATTGATTGTAGAACGTTAGCTTCCGTTTCTAGGGTACAAACGGTCAGAGCTAAACGCGGGCCGAGACTCATGATCATTTAGAGGGCCGTGCGAAATTCACGTCGCCGGTGGGGTGAATCAACAGTCATCGAGGGCTGCTTTGGGTATGTGCACGGGATAGACATTGATGTGCCTGTGTGAGAAGACTTATGAGATCTACCATTAATCAGTGACCCCTATTCATTGAATAACCTAATTCCTATTACTTGCTCACCGGGTGGCCTAGATCGTTTGTCTTTTCTTAGACAAAGCGTCGAATCTGTCTTCCTTATGGTGACGGGATTCTATCGGTATAGCGACATCGGGATTATCAAAGAGATTGTAATGAATGGTAGAAGCGATTCTATTATTGTCTTACTTAGTGATAGCTGTCTTATTTGTTATCTTCTTTCTTTCATCTAGACTAGAATGAATTACGAATATTATTCTGCAATCGAGTCATGCAGCAAAATCTCATTACTATATTAATATTTATTAATATTTTCTGGCTCAATTAGTGATAGCTGTCTTATTTATTATCTTCCTTCTTTCATCAAAACTAGAATGAATTATGAACATTATTCTGCAATCGAGTCATGCAGCAAAGTCTCATTACTATATTATTAATATTTATTAATATTTTCTGGCTCAATTAGTGATAGCTGTCTTATTTATTATCTTCCTTCTTTCATCAAAACTAGAATGAATTATGAACATTATTCTGCAATTATGCGCCAAAATCTCATTACTATATTATTAATATTTATTAGCATTTCCTGTCTCCCTTATTACAATCGCACTCCTGCTCCCCAGCACCATGACAACGAACAACAGCCACTGCCATCCCTTCTCTCCCAAGCCCCATCCAACGTCATCCAACTCAACACATGGCACAGCAACGCGATTATACAGCAGTCGACCAAGCGTGACCGTAGGGAGGGTGTACCATGAAAGCCAATCCCAAGAGACCGCAAAGTTCACCGCATCGTAGCTGTTTCCAAACACAGTAATCCTCAGCCGGCAAACCCCATTGGAAACCGCAGACGTTTCCGACACGTGATCGGCACACGCGACACTCTCATCGTTAATAGACGGTGTCGAAAGCCCGAAAAACCGTTTATCCTCAAAGCGTTCCAAGTCAAACTGGTGACTCTTTTCTCGATTTCTCAAGTCAATTTCAGAAAATGCCATTTGCAACTTATTAGAAAATATTCAGTAGTCCCACTGAAAAACTGAAGTGCAAAGAGTAAAGACACTTCAGCTTTTTTATCTTTTTACTAACTCTAACAAACTTTGCAATTTGTTTCATAAAGTCATTCTGCAAGTCTTTGTAACGAAGTTATGCGAGAATAGTACGTGGATATTTTTCCATCGGAAAATTAATCTGTACA